AACAACAACCAAAAAGTCCAAAGTAGTTTGCCTCTCTTTTGTCCTAGTCTTAGTCTGGAAACTCAGTTGAACCCTGTCTACCATGAGTGACCTTGTTGTGGTTACTGTTCCTGTTGCTAAGTGCCTTCGAGACAATTCCAACCCACAGCAATTCTGTATAGGGCTTCAAAGGAGTAGCTGGTGAGTTTGAACAACTAACTTTGTGGTTCCAACTGACCTTGCAGTCCAATGCATTTATTCCACAATGCCACAGCAGGACTCCTGAGTGACCCTTATCATTGTGTTGTTAAGTTCCATCGAGTCGGTTGCACCCATAGCGACCATGTATAGGGCTTCTGAGGAGCAGCTGGTAAACTTGAACTACCTACCTTGTGGTTCAAACCAACATAGTAGTCCAGCACCTTTACCCACACCAGGACTTCTGAGTGACTCTACTGGTATTTAAAATATGGTGTTATAGCTTCCAGCATCACAGCAACATGCAAGCCACCACAGTGTGACAAACGGACAGATGAGTGGTGGCCTGTAAATATTACAGCCAACAAAGTCCTATGCAGTAGTCCTGCTCCATGGGGTCACCATGAGTCAGAATTGCCTTGATGACACTGGGTATGGTGTTTGGTTGTGTTGGTAATTAGAAGACAAACACGATAATGTCAACTATCATATATATAGATATCATTGCTTATGTCCAATGGCTCTTGGCTGAAAGCAGAGAATACCAGAAAGATGTTTACCTGTGCTTTACTGATTATGCAAAGGCTTTCAATTGTGTGGATCATGACAAGCTATGGACAACATTGCGGAGTATGAGTATTCCGGAATACTTAATTGTGCTCACGAGGAGTCTGTACCTGGATCAAGAGGCAGTTGTTTGAACAGAACAAGGGAACACTGAATGGTTTAAAATTAAGAAAGGTGTGCAACAAGGTTGTATTCTTTCACCATACTTATTCAACCTGTATCCTGAGCAAATAATCCGAGAGTTCGGTTATATGAAGAAAACCGTGGCATCAGGATTGGAGGAAGACTCAATAACAACCTGCGATTTTCAGATGATACAACCTTGCTTGCTGA